TATATATATATATATAAAGCTTCAGACCACTTCGCGTTTTTTACGCCTTCCTGCCGGTGGAAGGATGTAGTGTGCTGCCGCGCGACCGTGAGCTCTCCTTGCTGCTGCTCCGCGTCCGTCCAGACACACCGGCGGATACTCGGCGTCGCCGCGACCTGGAGAGCAACAAGGCGCTAAGTTGCCCGAATACCAGCGGCGCAGCAGCAGCACCTGCCAGTTCGCCCCAGTACTCCCCGCGTGCGCCCGCCGCTGCCCGACCCGCCGTGGCGCCACCCACCTTCATCAGCGCCACCGTCACATGCATGACAACCCTGACCGCCAGAGCGGTAGGCTTCTTATCGGACTTTGCAGAGACCTTCCACTCCACGCAGAAACCCACGGTATCCACTACTACATCGCTTACCAGGTGTAGCGCGTTGCGTTTCGAGCAGTCCTCCATCGCGGCGAGAGGTGTGATGGACATTTCGAAGACGCTCAGATCATCCGGTGACACGCGCGGCCCCAACAAAGTGGAAAGAAACGGTGGTAGCCGCAGGAACCGCAGCAATGCGCCGACATAGTTCTGGTGCAGCTGCGGGTACACGTCCCACAGGTAAACAACACTATCACCGTATGCCGTTCTCGAGCGAATCAGCGCGCACGAAACTCCAGTTTGAACCGCCACGCGCGCCAGCAAGTCGGCGAACTGCAACAAATGCTCCTTTCCAGCAGCAACCATGACGTCTACCACATCTCCAAGTTGCATATCGAGACCCTCCTCGAGATACCCATCCAGCTGCTGGTGAATCTTCATCATCGTCGGCATAACAAAGCCAACCGTCAGGGCCAAGGTTGTGGTGTTCTCCGCGAAGCGCTTCCGAACGATAGCTCCAGACGTGAAGCCACGATTGGGGAACAATCGCCCACTGCCGGCGAGCACGTACGTCGGACCTACCAGCGCAGAAGCCGCAATCTCGCCAGTCATTGCAACAACACTCACTCACTCACTCTGCAGCCCATGATTCACGAAGGAAAAGATGGGGGAAAGAAGACCATTCAGAATGGGAGAAACCCGGCCCTTCCACACTCCATTACCCCCCACCCCCCAAAAAAAAAACACAAAAACAAACAATAAAAAGATGCAAAAAAATACAAGCCAAGAAAACACTTGGCGCTCGCGGATCCACATCTCCCGCTGCGACCACAAGACCTAATCCAGAGAATACACTTCGCCAGCACCAAAGCACGCAGAGCTTCCAACAAGCCGCAGCGATCCAACGCGAAGACACCAATGAAGCCCACCAGCCGGTAGGGCCGCGCAGACCTCAGCGACGGGGTCCGCACATGAAGCAGGCAACTATCAGCCAAACCGATACACCACGTGATCGGCGGCAGGAAACCCCAGTGGGTCGGCACCGCACAAACAAGAACCAAAAAAGCAGAAGATACGGCAGCCCCCGCAAGAACAAGGCAACCCGCCCCCCACCCATCCCNCCCTCCAAAAAAAAAAACGCAACCACGCAGTCGAGTAGAGCCGACGTCACTATAGCTCCAACCCCAACAAGCCGCTCGCAAAGTAATCCTCCCCTCACCCACACCGTACAACACAAAGCACCACACTGCCAAAGTTAAACCCAACACATAGGGCGCAGGGTAATATGCTCAAAAAAAGCAACCGGCACCTGCAGCTTGCACAACAGCCACACCCCGCGCCTGCAATCACATTCTAATCAACCAAACAGCCTATCACCTACCAATCACACCAACAACATATCCGAAAGAAACCCCACAAAAAGAAAAACAAAACACTAAGCACAACACAGCACTCAGGCAACCTGCACAGCACCACGCAGCACATTCCACCCAAAGCCCCACACCCAATGAAAAGAGAAGGCAGCACCAGCTCCCCATCACCGCAGTCGGGGTCGTCCTCACGTTCGGTGCAACGGTGCAAGGGAGCAGCAGTGCGTGCAGCAAGTAGAAAAGAGAACTGAAATGAAAAAAGAAAAGAAACAGCCCAAGGGATGACCATTTGTCCAGTGCGTCTCTGCCCACGGAGGAGCGCCTTCAACAGCAGCAACGTCTTACCAGCCGTCCGCAGCGCAGCAGCGGTCCCCTGCACTCACCGCCGGACGGGCTGCGGGCAGCGGGGCGGGGAAGGCAGCGGCCGCCCACACACATCAGCGGAGGGGTGCCCACGACGCCGACTCCCAACACCGAGCCACACAGCACACACACAAAGCAAGGAAAAAGAAAACTTACCAGCAGTAAGAACTGCATTGCCTAAGAGAGAAAAGAATGTGCGTGAGACATGCCCACGGAGCAAGAAAACAATATGTGTTTAACACCCACCAGCCCACACAGACACTCAGTGTGCCATGATCGCAGAGGCGGCCACGACGGCCAACACAAGCGGCATCAATGCGGAGGCAGCAGCACTGCCGTCAGCGTTCAGGTTGACATCAAGACTCTTGCCATTCGCTTTGATAATGCTCTTACGAGTGCCTGGCACAGCTGAATGACTGGTTTCTGCCGCGGATGGGTCCACTGCGTGTCCGTCCGAACGAGATCCCTCAGTGGCCTCCTCAGTTTGACGGCTGCCGCTTTGTTTGGCGGAGGAGCCAGAATGATCAGTAGACGTACCTTCGGTTAACACGACCGACGCATCAACAGAAGTATTTTCGTCCGTACGTGTCTGAACGGATTCGGTCGAAGTCCTCGTGCCGGTGCCCGCTGCAGTATTAGGCACGTTGACCTCATTAGAACTGATCACAGGACTTCCCTCCACATTCTTGTTATCCTCCAGGCCACTGCCCGTGCTCTTTCTCCCGCGGAAGATGTTCGCCAGCTTCTGCAACACGCCGGACGGTATGTGGCGCCCCGGTCTCCCGCTGCGCCTCCTCTGTCGCGGCAGCTTCGTGGGGCACACTTCAGACACGTTTGGGCACACAATACTGCCACTCAGCACGGTGCTCAATCCCGTAACGTTACGCGATTCACCCGCAGGGCAGCCGTACCAGGTGTTGCTGCCGGCCACGCGGAAGTACACACCTCGGGAAGTGCACTTCATCTGCACGCACACGTCACCAATCTCCTTCTTCTCCACCATCAGACCCTGGCCCTCCACGCACCGCGAATCCTCGCGAATCAGACTCCCAGGCATGTTGCTCTCGTTGCCATTAATGCAGCTGAAGCCTCTGTCAGCCACAATGATGGGGCAGTAGTCCATCATGTCCTCTCGCCTGCCGCCACGCTTCTTGCCACCCTCGTTCTTCTCGAAGTAACTATATTCAGTAGGGATATTTTCATTCTCTTTAATGATGCACGTCCCCAATGACTGACGGTCAGAAGTGCACCGTAGCTTCTTATCGGTGGAATCGGTGCAGAACATGTCGGGATACTTAGACACACCGTTTTCAACGCACTTCTTCTCATTCGTAAGGAATTCACATCCAGCGCCTTTGCCCCAACTCATTGTCTCCGCCTTTGTCCAGTTCACCATATAAAATTCCAAATCAAAGAACGCTGAAAGCGTCAACAGCGTGTAGCGCCCAGCACCGACAAGGCCGGTCATCAGCTCGTCCTTCGCAACGCGCCGCTTCCAGTGGGAAGANAACAGCGTGTAGCGCCCAGCACCGACAAGGCCGGTCATCAGCTCGTCCTTCGCAACGCGCCGCTTCCAGTGGGAAGAGACATATACCTCGTACGGCGGCAGGGGCGGTGCCGGCATGTCGATGGTTGGAATGTGCCTGGGAACAAACTCTGGTCCGGTGAAGTCGAGGATCACCGGAGAAACAGCAGCACTCACAGCCTGCATTGGCGCGGCACCTACGGTCTGAACGTTAGTACGGGAAGCTGCGGAAGAAGTTGTTGTGGCTTTGCCCTCCAATTCCGCCGTCCACGGTGCCTCGTTCTCAAGCTGCATAGGTTTTAAACTCTTGCAGCCGTAATGGTAAGACGTCATTTTCTTCGTATTTGGTGCGTCGAAGTAACGATCCTTTTTTTCGGTCTTTGAAGTGATTAAACCCGAAGAGCTTTTCTTATGTTTCTCCATAGTCTCCACGTTGAACCCAAGGGTGTGCGCAATCTCGTGTGCGGCGACGCGGACGGCCTGCGNNCCCATCGCCCTGCACCGCGCACGTCGCCGCCCACGCAAAGGCTCCATCAACCGTCGGCGCAGCAGTGGCGTACAGCACCATGTCAGCGTTGTCGACACCTTCAGTGCGATGATCTTCAGGGATGTCCAACTCACTGCAGGGGTTCTTCTCCTTGAAGGTCGGCGCAAAGACAAGGTACTCTAATCGCTTCACGAAGAGGCGCTCAGTGTGCATCTTCACAGCCTCGTGGATGAGCGTCAGCTCCAGAATGTCACGCTTCTCCGCCGTCAGGACGTCATCCTCCGTGCAGCTCACCCTGGTGCCAAAAGTGGTGGTGATCTCGCCCGAGGCAGTCGCACAGGTCCGAGGGCCCTTCGTGCCCACCATGAACACCTTGACGCGGAGAGGCTTCCATCCCGCCTTCGGAAATGGGAATTTATCCGTTTTGTCAGTATCAGGAAGCGTGAAATCTTTTTCCGTCACAGGACGAGTTAAATCAGGCCACTCAGTTTGCTTCGGAGCGCTGTAATTAAATGTCACTGTCTCCACACCACCCATTTTGTGGGATACGTAGTCGTAGATGCAGCGGTGGTGCTCCGTCACTGCGAGTGTGCTGCCGGCGCAGTGCACAAGGAGCAGCAGCGTCACGCCCAGCAGGCGCTGCATTCGTTGAACGTTGTTGTTGTTGTTGTTAAGCATCTCGATCTTGCGGGGAGGAATAGCAGAGAGACAGAAACAGACAGAGAGAAAGGGAATAGAACAGTGAGGCTCCCCCACACACTTCATCAAACCCACAAACACACGCGGTGAAGCATCCACACAGCAGAGGAAGGAGGGCACAGCAACCGCGTCAAGAAGTGCGGGTGGAGGGGTGGTGTCAGTCACGCACGCAATGCGCATCACTCAGCTCAGGCGTTTTGTTAGGATGTGGTGGTTCAGCCTCATCACGACGGCACACGCTGGGGGGGCCACGAAGGGCCAGGGAGGATGGAGACAGAGAGAGAGAGAGACAGAGAGCAGACACAATGGGAAGTGGCCAAGCAGCGCGCCGTGTGGAGTGCCACGAAGAGGAGCAGAAGGGCCACACACCACCGAGAAGTGTGGGGAGGAATACGGCTGTACGGCACCACGCAGAAAACCGTGCAGCCATCCAACTGCCTACCGCCTGCAAGCAGCCCAGCCGCCACCTCCTGCCGGGCGACGGAGGCAACAGATATCGTCACGCACTCCTCAGCGCACTCATCAGCTGCCACACTTAGCCACACTGTCCAACAACAACAAGCACAGCAGCAAAGCAGGCAGAACAGAGAGACGGAGAGAGAGAGAAAGAGAGGATAGTGCACAAAGCAGACAGGCACGCACAGCACAGCACTCAGGCAACCTGCACAACACCGAAGTCACACATTCCACTACCAAAAAAAAAACCGCACCCAATGAAAAGAGAAGGCAGCACCAGCTCCCCATCACCGCAGTCGGGGTCGTCCTCACGTTCGGTGCGACGGTGCAAGGGAGCAGCAGTGCGTGCAGCAAGTAGAAAAGAAAACTGAAAATGAAAAGGCCGATGGATGACCATTTGTCCAGTGCGTCTCTGCCCACGGAGGAGCGTCATCAACAGCAGCAACGTCTTACCAGCCGTCCACAGCGCAGCAGCGGTCCCCTGCACTCACCGCCGGACGGGCTGCGGGCAGCGGGGCGGGGAAGGCAGCGGCCGCCCACACACATCAGCGGAGGGGCGCCCACGACGCCGACTCCCAACACCGAGCCACACAGCACACACACAAAACAAAAAGAAAACTTACCAGCAGTAAGAACTGCATTGCCCAAGAGAGAAAAGAATGTGCGTGAGACATGCCCACGGAGCAAGAAAACAATATGTGTTTAACACCCACCAGCCCACACAGACACTCAGTGCGCCATGATCGCAGAGGCGGCCACGACGGCCAACACAAGCGGCATCAACGCGGAGGCAGCAGCACTGCTGTCAGCGTTCCCGTTGAGATTAAGGCTTTTGCCCTGCGCCGTCACAATCTTTGCTTGTCCGCTATCCTTAACATTAGCGCTCTTAGCTGTGACGTCAGAAAGCCCTGGTACTGTGGGGTTGGCAGCGACTGTAGAGGTGCTGGTGGGTTCCGTGATTTCGGTCGTCGCTGCAGCCTGAGTCTGGCTGTCCTCCTTCCCTAAAGCCGTTGTGTCCCCTACGGCAGTGCTGACCGCAGTCTCTGATGGNGGTCGTCGCTGCAGCCTGAGTCTGGCTGTCCTCCTTCCCTAAAGCCGTTGTGTCCCCTACGGCAGTGCTGACCGCAGTCTCTGATGGCAGCATGGTGGTGCACACGTCCTCGTACCGCGGACAAGTAATGCTGCCCTTTCCACCGAAGTCGCCATGCACCTTCAGAGACTCCCCCTCCGGGCACAAGTAATACGTGGGGGCACCAGCGTACTGCACGTACACCGACCCATCAATACACGCCACGCGCACACACACGTCGCCGACCACCTTGTCTCCCACCTTAAGATTATTCCCCTCAACGCAGCGAGAGCTNACCCATCAATACACGCCACGCGCACACACACGTCGCCGACCACCTTGTCTCCCACCTTAAGATTATTCCCCTCAACGCAGCGAGAGCTGGCGCCGACAAGACTCCCAGGCATGTTGCTCTCGGTGCCATCAATGCAGCTGTAGCCTTTGTCCGCCACAATAATGGGGCAGTAGTCCATCATGTCCTCCCGCCGGCCGCCACGCATCTTCCCATCCGTCGTCGTCTCGAAGTACCTGTACTCCGAAGGAATAGTGTTATACTTCTCAACGGCACATGTCCCCAACGCCTGGCGGTCAGACGTGCACCGTAGCTTCTTATCGGTGGAATCGGCGCAGAACATACTGGGGTACTTAGATACACCGTTTTCAACGCACTTGGTTTTACCGAGGAAAAAATCGCATCCAGCATTTTTTCCCCAACTCATCGGCTCCGCCTTTGTCCAGTCAACCATAAAAAACTTCAAATCAGCGAACGCTGCAAGTGTCAACAGCGTGTAGCGCCCAGCACCAACAAGGCCGGTCATCAGCTCGTCCTTCGCAACGCGCCGCTTCCAGTGAGGTGAATAAAGCACCCTGACATTATTCAATGAAGGCAAAGGCTTTACGTAAGGTTCAAAATCGTCTTCATCAAATTCCGGTGGATCATCGTCGACATCATCCTCGTCACCTGAAGCAGTTACTGCCGGTGCTGCCGCCACACCTCCAGGCTTGGGGGCAGTTATTGTCTCTGCTGCCAATCTTTTCTCTTCACCCATGACTGCAGCGGTATACGGCGCTTCGTGTTCAAGTAACATAGTTATCGATCGACTGCAGCCATAATGGTACGTTGTCACATTCCTTATATTCGGTGCGTCAAAGATATAGTTAATGATACCGTCGGGTTTAGAAATCGAAAGTATATCGTCATTCCTCGCGTGTTTCTCCATCGTCTTAATGTTAAGCCCAAGGGTGTGCGCAATCTCGTGTGCGGCAACACGGACGGCCTGCGACGTGCGGGCAATGTGGCGCGGGCTGTAGTTGATCATGCCAATCAGCGGCCGCCCATCGCCCTGCACCGCGCACGTCGCCGCCCACGCAAAGGCTCCATCAACCGTCGGCGCAGCTGCGGCGTACAGCACCATGTCAGCGTTGTCAACACCTGCAGTATGGTGCTCTTCAGGAATGTTGAAACGGCTACAGGGATTCCCGCCATTGAACCTTGGCACAACAATACGGTACTCTGCAGGCTTCACATACAGGCGCTCAGTGTGCAGCTTCACAGCCTCGGGGATAATAGTTTCAACCAGAATCTTCTTCTTGTTCTCCGTCATGACATCCCCCTCCGTACAGTTCACACTGATCTCAAAAGTGGTACTCACCACATCTGAGGCGCTCTTACACGTCGCTGAGCCCTTCGGCTCCACCACGACTACCTTGATGCGAATAGGCTTCCATCCCGCCAGCGGTAACGGAAGAGAAAAGCTTTCATCGGTTCCCGTGAATGTCACAAATTCAGATGTCACAGTGGAAGAACTTGAAGGCACCTCAGATTGTTTTATAGTACTAGTCGGCACATTCAGAGGAGGATCAACACTGTAGGATACGTAATCGTGCATGCAGCGGTGGTGCTCCGTCACTGCGAGTGTGCTGACGGCGCAGTGCACAAGGAGCAGCAGCGTGACGCCCAGCAGGCGGCACACTCGTTGAGCGTGGTTGTTGGTGAGCATTTTCAATCTTGCGGGGAGAAATAACAGAGAGATCAGAAGTAAAAAAAAAAGTGGCACACACTTACACACAATCATACCCAAACACGGTCGCACACACCACCGCACCCTTACTTCACAGGGAGCAGCTCAACATGAGG